AACTATACCAACACAAACATCATAATCAACAACCACTCACTCCGCCATCATAGCATCGTGTGGTTATTTTTATTTCCCCACCACCACCACCACCACCACCACTTATTATACTATATACTATTTTTTATTTATTACCATTAACTCGTTGACAATTTTTGTCTCTGCTCTATTTAATACTGGAACGATCCTCCGTCCCCTCAAGTGGCAATTAACCGATCTTATCACTTGTCTCAAGTGACTGTCTCACTACTATCCTAAGCCCATTCATCACGGAGGTTGACACGACAACACATTCCTTACCCTTTCCTGCTGGCAGGATTCACATTCTTCATTCGTCTATTCAAGCCCTCTCTATATCCTTCGTCCGGCTCGCTTTCTTTTTTGTTTGCTGGCTCTCGCTCTCTCGTCTCTCCTCTCTTTCTTCCCCTGCATCCTGCAAAGTACCATGGCTGTCCATCCCTACTCTCCTTACACCAACTTTGCATCCCCCACCACCAACACCACCACCGGCATCATGGACTTCGATCGGGCGGCGCTGCATGAGTTCATCATGCAGCCCGTCTCGCGAGACATGATCTCTCATCTGGCTCAACAAGCGATGCAGGTCATCCGCTGCGAACCGCATGTGACAGCACATCACGCGCATGGCCAGCCCACTCCCCCCAGCACGCCGCCCTTGGATGCAGACCTGCCTCCTCTACCATCTGTCACCACCTTTATTACCTCGCTAGTGCTCCGTTCGCAGGTGCAGGTGCCGACGCTGATGACCTCGCTGGTCTACCTGGCCCGGTTGCGGGCTCGCCTGCCCCCCGTCGCCAAGGGCATGCGCTGCACAGTGCATCGCATCTTCCTGGCTTCCCTGATTCTGGCAGCCAAGAACCTCAACGACTCCAGTCCAAAGAACAAGCACTGGGCCCGGTACACCTCCGTCCGCGGCTACGAGGGCTTTGGGTTCTCGCTGCCCGAAGTCAACCTGATGGAGCGTCAGCTGCTCTTCCTGCTGGACTGGGATATCCGTGTTGACGAGGCCGACCTCCTGCACCACCTGGAGCCGTTCCTCATGCCCATCCGTCGGCGTCTCCAGCTCCAGGAGCAGCGACAGCGCGAGGCTCAGCTGCGTCAGCCCCGTGAATGGCGTCGCTTCCATGCCTCTGCCGACCTGTTTGCTGCTCGCCTTCACCGTCAGAAGGCCGAGGGTCGCCGTCTGCCTGGAGAGTCTCCCACACGGAGACGTCTGCCCCCCAGCCCAGCATCGTCAGCTTCCCTTTCTTCCGTCTCCTCAGGCAGCTCCTACTGCGCCTCCCCAGCGTCTGTGGCCGAGTCGGAGCGGTACCGCCCGTACCCACCTCGTCGACGTCCCTCGACCCGCAGTCATGCGTCCGTCTCTTCTCCGCCAGCTGTACAGGATGTCCCAGGTCTATCACGTGCTGAAACGCTACCCTCGCTGAGCTCGCGCGCTTCCAGCATCGCACCCAGCTCGCGAGGCGACACGCCCGCTAGTCTGCGCACCTCCAGCTCGATAGCCAGTATGAACGAGGTCCACGTGGTGGATGGCAGTCGCAGCCCGTCGGTGAGCAACGGCTATGTCTCGATGGGCGGCACGAAAGTGGAGGAGCTGTCGCAGCCGAATAAGAAAGCCCGACACTCCCTGAGTCACGCACATGGACCCGGACAAACCCACCCGGGGTTTGTAGCGCGGTTCCTGGCATCCGCGGCAGGGTCGTACATGGGAGGCCGCCGGCATTAGGGTTCATCGAGCTGGACTTGATGAGTTTCGGACGATTGTCTTCTGATACCTGCATTGCATTTTTGCTTTTCCACTTCCCCCTATCATCCCAAATTTTGGGATCGTTGATGAATTTCTTTTCTCTGTCTTACCGTGTGATGATAAAAGCAGTTGACCCAATACCCTCTACCCCTCTCTTTTCCCGTGATCTACTAGAGGATAGTACTTACACTCGAATCCCGTGATGGTGATTGAATATGCATTGCACAGCGGCGTTGATACTGGATTCTTTGGATATTGATTTTTCTTCCATGTGTATTTTGCTTTTTGTTCATTCTTGACTTATTTCTTTTGGATGCTTCCGCGTCGGTGAATCTTTATTTTGTCTACCCATACTTCCGTCCCAGATTGCCCAACTGACCCCTTTGATGATGACATTGATATTATTACCTGGATCTGTATGTACAAGCACGGTAGATTTGCGCCCTACTCACGGTATAATAGCATAGTATTATTATTAGTATCATTATTATTATTATTATTATTATTATTATAAAAAAAAAATGACAGCGCACAAGTCAGGAGCCGAAAGTTTCGGGATGGTGGGAAAGATAGATGCTAATAGTCTTTTGTAGTCCACTGAGCCGTGCAAGCCCCTCTCAGGCGTACCCTGACGACAGCGTCGAGTGGCATTATAGTTCGGGAGACCGCGGACCAGGATAATTCCAAACTCCCGGGCCCAGGCGAACTAACTCACCAGGTTGCTCTAGCACCGCCTCATACGAACGTGGCCAAGCAGCCTGACGAATTTAGGAACTGAGCAGCATTACCCAGGTAGCCTGCCAGTTGTCGTCTCCTTATACTGCGTAGACTTTGTGTCTGTGATGATAGACTTGAGCGCCATTATCAAGAAGATCGCGCTTTGTCTGACAACGCATCAAGTGCGACATCTTGTCGAGGACATCCTGGTTCCCTGCATCGAAGCCCAACCACGTTACACTTGGAGGCGAACGTAAGATTTCCACAAAAAGACGCAGAACCTCCGGAAAAAGCGGGCTGAAGCATTTCGGCAAACAAGCGTTCACCTTTGGGCGAATTTTCTTGACGCCAGAAGTTGATGAGTGGGTGTATTGGCAAAACAAAAACAGAGGTACGCGCCCCCGGTGTAAGCGCCCTTCCTCTGTTCCCATCCAACCCCCACCCGCAATCCAGTGACCGTTTGGCGCTGCGCTCCTTGCTGACACTATGAACCAGAGCCTGCAGACTTTCGCAGTTCACTCGTCGAATCAGTAAACAACCGCCTTCCCTTTGTGCACGACGGTGATATTGTCAAGTGCAACTGTGTTGTTGACAACCTATCATTCTCCCTTATTTTCGCCACTTCGGTCTCAGACGAGTGGAAATCCCTTGGGATTGGCCCATCTTTGGCCGTATTATTGGTCCTAGACTCCTGGTTCCTGACAGCCAGGGTACTCCAATCACGACTCTAATTGGAAGCCTGACGGTAAACCCCGTCGCAGCTCCATGATGGAATACCCGCCGCAGTATCAACAGCCTCATGGCCAGCATCCCCACGCCTCTTCCCACATCACTGCCCCGTATCAGACGGCTCCTCAAAATGCTGGGTCCACGGTGGGGTCGATGACTTCTCCCACCAACCCTCAAGCGCACATGCAACAAGCTCACGCTACACATCAAGCGTCCCCAATTGTTCCCTCACAATCTCATTACCAGCCTGCTCAAAATGCCCCGGGCTCTGTACATCAGCAAATGAACTTCCCTCAGTCGTATGGAGTCACCACGGCGATGCCACAAACGTATGGTATCTCCCCTACGCAAGCGGCCGCAATGGCCACCGCTGCAGCATCGGGCCAATTCTATCCTCTACATCAAGATTCGATGGCTGGCCAGATGGCTCCTGGTCCCCGCGGATCGCCGCGCATGGCTGGGGTGCAGGTCAAGAGTGATCGCAATCCTCGTTCTCCACCCCAGATTCCTGGCCAGATGCCATCGATGGGATCCCAGGTACAGATGTCCCAGAACGCCCAGATGCAGCAACGTCGCATGAGCCATGTCAGTAGCCCACATGTTCAGAATGCCCAACCACTTATCAATCATGCCGGCCGGCCTTCGGTGCCCCCATCTATGCCGCCACCACCTCAGCCGCCTGTTCAGCAGAGCCAACCTTCGCCGGATATGGTCGCTGGTGCCGCTGAGGAATCGCCGTTATACGTGAACGCGAAGCAGTTTCATCGCATCCTGAAACGACGAGTGGCTCGCCAAAAATTGGAGGAGCAATTGCGGCTCACGTCCAAGGGCCGTAAGCCATATCTACACGAATCGCGTCACAACCATGCAATGCGCCGCCCTCGTGGTCCCGGCGGGCGATTCTTAACGGCCGACGAAGTGGCTGCTATGGAGAAGAAGCAAGCATCCGGATCTACAACCTCTGGGCTTGAAGCCGCTGATGATAATGCGGTGAAACCTCCTGGCGATAACCCGCCTTCTGCACAGAAACGAAAATCAAGTGATGTCAACGATGACACCATCAACTCGTCTAAAAAGACGAAAACCAGTGCGAAACCGAGCACTAGTGCGGACGAAAGCGAGAACGAATCTGCTGAGCTGTCCGACGAGGATGGTTGAGCGGTACCTTACTCCAGGACCGTCTTGCGAAAATCCTGCTTACCCACAATAGCCCTTCATGATGGATGGATGTCTGGAATTTCTTTTACCCCCGTCTTCCTTGACCTTTACTCCCCGCAGCGAGCGACGCGCAACTGCCCCATCTTCTCTCGTACTTATTGACGTTATTCCCACCTCCCTCTGGTTTCGTCGGAAACGCCTCGTTTCATCCGTTTGAAACTTTTATGTCTGTTTATATTGTTATGCTGGCACGAAGTATTATTACTATTTTCCTATTTCCTTTCATCTAACGATGTTCAGCCTGTTAGGATTGCATGTATGAGATGATTATGTTTTGTTATTTTCTTTTTCATTTCTCGGGATGGTGCACGATTCTCAAACTCATGAATTGTTACGTTCGTCCCACTGTCGATGCTGCATGACCCGGTCTCTAATACCCGAAGGTCGTGGTTTTCACAGCTGGCGGCAGCCTTCTTATATGTCTTCTCGTCAAGCTCCCTTGTCGACAAGCAACTCAAATGTCATTGGCAACTTTGGTGTACTGTGTTCCTTCTTTCCCTGTGCCTGAGTCCGCCGCTTTGATCCGGATCCGTTCTTTTGCGTCGTGCTTCGGGCCTTGGTTGGTATTAGATTGAAGCCCATCGCTGGTAAAATTAAACCCCGAGGTTGGGTGGCGCGGCGACAGAGCCTACATCCCTTGGCGGTGGATGGTGCACGCATGTCGTGGTTCGGTGTCGCGTATTTGCCCAGCAAAGTCGAAACACTGGGCACTGTCCGACGGTCGCTTTTCTCTGGGAATTTGTTTGGATAGGGAACGTTCCCGACTGGAGAATTCGACGACGGTCTTCATTCCGTGCATTTCATGGAACGCCCCAATTGACTGTTTGTGCCATTGGGGTAGTGCATGAATGTGACTTGGGATCTTTCCGTCTTCGGTGCGGCTGCGAGGCCCCATGCGATGCCACTCTCTTTGAATTTGCATCGACGAGTGTGGTCTGACATGCGAGGCTGTGGTGGACTTGGGCTGTCACAGCCGATGCTTGTTTTCCTCCTGCCCTTCTCTGTTGCCCCCTTTGATGCCTCGTTTGATATATTACCCTGATCTTCAACGGATGATTCCCCTACTAGTCGTGTACAAATATCAAGACATACTTGGCGAACTCGTTACTAGTCGTGCTTGCCTTGTTCTCGTGGCCTGACCTTAGAGCAGGTTCCTACGGTGTGAGTGCTTTGAGTAGAATAGAGTTAGCAGGCCGCGAGTCTTCACTTTGCCTCGGATGAAGTAAGAGGGGAGTGAAATTGGTATAGTGAATTCCGAGATAGATGATGCTGACGGATGTGCACTGTATTCGTCGTAAGGCAGGCTTCGTATTGCTCCTCTTCTCAATCCTTCTCCCCCAGATCCATGCTGGTTCCATCTTCCTATTTCTCCCAGTTTGGTGGTTCAATGTATAGCTGCGACTGAGCCGAAAGCTTCCCTCGTTTCTATTTGCCACTCGTTGTTGGCATGGTTTTAACAGCATCAGATTGCGAGAGAATCTGATTACCCTGAAACTCAGGGACCTGAGATGCCAGGTGAGTGAGAAGACTTTCCTTCAATTGCCTGCTATAAGCCTGTTTTAGGGGGAATGAGAGACGAGGCGTACATACCGTTTTGTTTTAAGTGTATCTCCATGTTTTTGATTTGACGAAGCGGCGACCAAAAGGGAACCCGGGGGCGCTATGCCCGGTCGGGACTAGGCGGGACTCCCTTCTCCGGCGCTCCAGCCTCACTCCCCAATCCTGTCTCTCTCCTTCGCTGCTTTCCCTTCCCTCTCTCGCCTTCTCTCCTCCTTCCCTTCTCCTCCTCTCTCTCTCTCTCCCTCTGACTCCCCCACAAAACTTCCTCTTATATATCATCACGCCTTGCCCGGTGATTAGTCCCGGTCAGTTGCGATTTCCGTCTATATCGTCTGGTCTGCTCAGCTCGGATTGGACTTAGTACTCCGTCCATCATCTTCGCATCTCGTTGGATCTCCAATTCTCTCCTCTTAAGGCTTCTCTTGTAGGTCGCCTGCCTTGCCATTCAATCCTCTCTCTCATTCTCTCTCTTCTCTCTCTATTGTGTTCAGTCAATTCCATTGCACCGCCCTTGTCTCTCATCGTCCCCTTGCCCCTGCTCAATTATCTCAGTCCAACCTTCCCCTGTCATCCATCCAATTTCACTTGGATCCGCGCCTCACTTGTGCTTCATCCCGTCTCTTTTTCTTTACTCCAAACCTCATCTTGGACTCCCTCCGTTTATCGTCGCGCCATTATTGGCTCGCACCACACTCCGTGCTGATTGATCAACTACTCTCTATTGTCTACCTTGTGCCCTCTCTTTTCTCTCGTCTTCTCTTGGCTCTCGCGAGCGCACTTGCGTTTCATCTTCTCAGTTTCCGGGTTCGCCCTTGTCGTCCGTTATTCAGAATCATGCCTTGTCTATCTCTTCCATGGCCGGCCCCCGGCAACCAGCTTCATTTGCATCTTCTTCTTGCCCAACTCGCCCCCTAACCCTGCTTCGTCAACGTCCAACCTACCCGGCACTTTTGCACACGTGAAGGACTTGCTCTAATGTTGATCATTTCGGATCTTAGCTTACGCCTTCTGTCCTTACCGTCCTGGGCGCGACCCTCGGCCATTGTCTGGTAGCCGGCTCCGATTCTCTCCGTTACGACCTACAAGAGCTCCGGTCGACGCGATTTTGCATAACCTCGTCCCCATGGACTCATATGAGAGTTACGGGTCCCCCGGCAGGAGCCGGGAAGCTGGCGATCCCTATGCTTCTAGGGTCCCAGTGGACTCATACCGTCGCAGGTCACCTGGTAAGTTTCTAGCTCCTAGACTACCATCCGGATGCTCTCGGTTTGGTCATGGCCATTCAATCTAACCACTGGTACGTACGCAGTATCTCAGGATCGACGCCGAGCACGCGGTCGTTCTCGCTCACCCGTTATGATCGACCGCTACGAACCTTCTGATCGCCGTGCCTCGCGAGACGACTACTATGCTGCCTCTCGGGAGCATGCCGGGCGTGACCGCGAGGACCGTCGCCGTGCGCCTTCGCCGAACGTTGCCAACATCGACCGCTATGTCCCAGGACAAGATTCTGTCAAGCGCCCTCTTCCCACCAATCCGCTTCCGAACCCTTTAACCCTGGAGTTTCAAGTGGGGTTCAATTGGTTTGCCGAATGGTGGCGCGCGGAGCAGTCGATCAAAGAAGAAAAGGAACGCGCCAAGCACGGCGGTCGGCGTCCTTCTGATCGCGTCAAGGGGGAGCGGGAGGCTCGTGAAGACCGGGAAAGAGAGAGAGCACAGATCCAGGCGGCTTACGATTCATACAAGGTGAACCTTCAGGCGAAGATGGCACGTGCTTTCGTCCAGCACCATCGAAACGAGGAGTGGTTCAGAGAGCGCTACGTTCCTGAGGTCAGGGATCCTCTTCGTCGTCAACTGATGGATTTCCGCATGGGCGCCTATCAACAATGGGAGAGAGACCTCGAGAGTGGTCTCTTTGATGAGTTCACGCTTGAAGGAATTTACAAGAGTGAAAGTGATGGGGCAGGCGGTGTCATTGAGAAGGAAGAGGGCGAAACCACCGCGGTTGGTGAAACCCTGGGTGTTCTGGACTTGCTCCCAGCAAGAGGCGGTGACTTGCGTGACGAAGCTCTGTCTCAGTCTGCCCTCTTGATCAAGACTCTAGCGCCCAATGTTAGCCGTGAGAAGATCGAAGAGTTCTGTAAGGAGCATTTGGGTGAGGAAGATGGTGGATTCAAGTGGCTTAGTCTCAGCGACCCCAATCCGTCGAAGAAGTACCATCGGATGGGATGGATCATGCTCCATCCTGCGCCGGACGTCGAGGTCGTCGAGAGGGGGGATGGAAGAGAGGAAGAGGGTGAGGAAATGGAACATGATCACGCGGCCAATGGATCGGGGACACAAACTGCTGCCGAGAAGGCGCTTGAAGCAATCAACGACAAAACGATTCATGATCCTGTTCATGGTGACTTTGTCTGCCACGTGGGTGTTCATGTCCCGCCGTCGCAACCCCGCAAGAAGGCCTTGTGGGATCTCTTTTCGTCGCCAGAGCGGATTTCACGAGACCTGGAGCTGGCAAGGAGACTGGTGTCGAAGCTCGATGATGAGATGGGAGCAGGTGCTGACGGGTTCTCCAAAATCGAAGAGCGAGTCGAGGAATTGCGCGGCAAAGGCTGGCTTCAGCCGCCTGTCACGGGGCCTGTCAGTGTCAAAAAGAGGAAGCCCGACTACGATGCCGATGATATTGATGAAGGCGAGGCAGAAGAGGGCGAAGAACAGGAAGGATGGGAAGATGACGAACTCGATGATGAGGAGCTCTTGGCCAAGAAGAAGAAGTTGGATCTGATGGTTGAATACCTTCGCCGGGTCTACAATTTCTGTTTTTTCTGTGTCTTTGAGAGTGACTCTGTGCATGAGCTTGCTCGTAAATGCCCTGGTGGACATCTCCGTCGACCCCGGGCCGGTCTTACGACGCAGTCGAAGGCTGTGGCCCGGGCTAGCGCTCTTGGGCAGCCGTTCCCTGTCAAAAAGAAGGAACCCAGTGAAGAGGGCGAGGAGCAGCCGCCTGTGTCGGAGGAGAAGCGGCCACAGCGTTTCAGTTCCAAGACCGAACAACAGCTTCAGCGAGCGTTCAACTGGGTCAAGACATTCGAGGACAAGCTTTTACAGATCCTTGAGCCAGAGAATGTCGATATCGGGAAGCTGGGTGGCAAGCCCGTTGAAGACGCCTTGGAGGAGGAGCTCGCAAAGTATATGAAGCAGGAGGATGAGTCCAAGTATCGCTGCAAAGTCCCTGAATGCACCAAGCTGTTCAAGGCGGAGCATTTCTGGCGTAAGCATGTCGAAAAGCGTCATACCGAATGGTTCGAGAACATTCGCAGTGATGTAAGTGATACTTCTTTAACGTGTTCCGTGCGGACGAATACTCATGATGATACAGCTCGCTCTGGTCAATGCCTACGTTCTTGACCCTGCTCGGATTGCTCCTTCGCGGTCCGACGCTAATAGTAACGGGCATTTCCCTCTTAACTCTGGTCAGGGCCAGACCGGTACACCACGTGGTTTCAGCCTAGCGTCAATGCCGCCTTACCTTGCAGGCAGCGGAAATGTCCCCCCAAGCTTCCAGAGTGTGCCAGGGTCGGGAGTACCCGGATTTATGGGTGTTAATAACCCCTCGTGGAGTGGTAATGGAATGGTGTCTGCAGACGGCCCAGGTTTGCATCAACCAGGCGTCATGCGCCGTGGTGGCGGGCGTTATAATAACCGATCAGGTCCTTATGACAGACGTGGCAATCGACATGGCGGCCCAGGCACTGGAAGCGGCCGTCTGAGCCCCGTCCGTGGCATGTCCAGCATGTATGGATCTGGTGGTCGCCTGCCGGCCAGTTCTGGACCACCATACATTCCCCCTGGACATCCTGCCGCCGCCTTGGTGGGAGCCAGCGGCTTTGTTGACGCCGGTGCCGGTCAGCAAGGCATGGGCCCGCGCGAAGCCGTACAAGGTCGCAGCCTCAAGAGCTACGAGGATCTCGATGCGGTCGGTGGCTCTGGCAGCGGGGAGTTGAACTATTAGACATCTATAACAGAAACTTCCTCCGTGCAAATGGCGTTCACTGGTCTGTCGTTCCTGCATTTTCACAAAGCCAGTTACATATTTGATGTCTCACCGCATATGCCGTGCATTGATCCGTGTCTGTCATACTTCTCATCTTTTCGTACATGAGCCGAAATTGTCTCTTATCAATTTCCGATTTCTTTGGTTCTTCTTTCTCCTTTAACCGTTCTTCTCGACGCTTCTCGTTTATCCAAACGTGAAACATGGGCTCGGCTGAGATTGTCCCTAATTTTCTTTTCTTTACAGAATATGGCGTGTTTCCTTGTGCCCTCATGCGGCCCCGAGTCGGCTCTGTGACTGCTACTTAACCATTTTTGGGGATGCCGAAACCCAAAGCTGCATGGCTCTTTTCTCTCGTTCGCTTCCTTCGTTTCGTTTTCTGGTCTTGGCGTCCCTCGGATTGTACCATAGTATCTATCTTATCTATCAGCTCGATATTCTCGTACCATAAGCTCAATGACATATGGCCAGTTACACGCATTCTTTGTCTTTCTCAGCGCATTGGACTGATGTATCCTACCCTCGATAAAGCGAATGGGCTTTTATTCATATTCGCAAAACTAGTAGCCATTAGTAAGTACTCTTACGATTTCTATAGAAGTAGTACTACTCCGCGTGAAATTCTAAATAGTACTATACAGAATGACAGGTCCAGATATAGCAGTAATTTTGGAAAGAGTATGTACATATATAGCGCATCGCTGATGCTCCACAAGTATTATTTATATATTATGAAAAGAACCTCCCAAAGGTAATATTGGGGGACAGCATCCACCCAACATGATTCCTACGGCATCTGAATCACGACATCATCTGCACTATCACGCCACTGCAGTCCCATCCTGCGAACGCGACGCTCACTTGCCAGGAATAAAAGCAGGTATATATGAGAAGCTATCTCGCCCCATGCGTATACTTTGAGAGTCACTGGTCTCGATGTTTCACCACGATCCACGGGTCCATTCTGAGGCGACGGTGCAGGTTTATCTGAGCCTTCATCCTCCAGAACGCACCAGACACCCCAGCCGGCGCGGCCTTCTTTCGCGATGAAATCCGTCAGGAAGGTCCAGAAGCGCGTGAAGAGTGGCAGGTCCCAGGTGGTGCTGGAGCTTGGCTTTGGGTGTAGGGTGTCGGTGAGATTGAGGCGGAGGTACCAGTGTCCTCTTTCGAGGTCGTCCAGCGGTCGGGTTTGTTTGAGGGGAGTGTATGTGCGGGAGGGGTTGAGGCGGGTGGAGAGCATTTCTAGGGTCGGGGTGATGTGGGTTGTGAAGGGGTTTGTTGATATGGGAGGTGGGTTGGGCTTGATTTCTAGGGGGAGGTGTAGGGTGATGTCTTTTGGTGTTTGGGGGGCGGCTTCTCTGGTAGTGATGGTGGTGGTGGTGTCGTTGTTTGGTGGGCTGAGGTTGTTGAGATGCTCATCTGGGGATGTTGTACCGATGACTGGTGGAAGGGAGTCTAGACGACTTCGCTTCGTAGGAGGCAGGCCATTCGTATCGGTCGATTTGCGACGGGGTGTTGGACTTGGTTGGGGAGGGGCAATCTCCTGCAAGTCGACTGGCTCCGGGGGAATTCGCTCAGGCTGAGAATCGGGAATGACACTCAGGGGGGTTCCGAGCGAGTCCTTGTCATGTTGACTTGGTCGATGGGCTGGTGAGGCTGCTCCAGGGTCTGGAGGCTTGAGTGTAGAAGAGCTGGCATTGTGTTGTTCCTGGGTATAGGAGGGACCGGCTTCCGTTACAGCGGGGATGGCTTCGCTGTCATCAGATCGTAAAGTTATGAGCTGACGAGAGAAAGGTTGAAAACTGAGGATTGCTTCGACCTGAGCGCGGTAGCCGGCATCATCGGCCACGGTGCTGGGGGCGGAGATGTGGACGAGCACTTCGGATTGTTGCATGGCATCGGAGGGGAGGTTGATAAAGAGCCTGGACCGACATGGTGGGGCACTTGACTATTGGTGCAGACGTTTCAGTTTAGGCGGGACAAAGTGCCCTTTGCCCTGAGAGCAGAGAGAAACTATAATAGCCTAGACTAGATGAAGGATGGAGTTGAAAGAGAGAACAATAGACAGTAAAAGGCAAGAGGGGGAGAAAGAGCAGAGGGGAAAAGCACATGATAGGCGGAAGCATCGAAGATCACGAGTCATGGCGGCCTGAGGCGCGATCCCGATTGGGTGGACTGGCGGCCTTAGGCTGCCGATCCGCTCGATAGTTTCCGCGCCGTCCAAACAACTTCTCCTCTTCACTGAGCTCAGACGGGTCTCTGCTCAACCGAGTCCTCCCTTGAGATCCCCTCCCTAATCTCGATCTGACCCGGCTTCTCGGGGAGCTTCGTCGGCGATGATTCGGTCTTTAATTTCAATTGGGCCCGTGGTCTGTTGGTAAGCTAACTACAAGTATCTTGGTTTGTGATCCTGTTCGGTGATCGTCGTCGTGCGCCTAGCCTCGGCTTATCATTGATGGATTGGGACAATAATCGTGGACAATTGAATAGTGGCCATGCTCAAGGGTGCCGGGACCACATCTTGGGTGATGTGATAATAATGGCGATTAGAGTCTATACCATTGACGAGCTATCTATCTTTTCCAAACCAAGGTGTTCGAGGCTTCGAGCCACCATCATCGCTACCCACCTGGCATTTTGACTCTAATTCGAACGTGTTTGTCCAATGGCCGGGATTGTCTTCCAGCCTTCAGAGAAATGACCGTGCACTACCCAATGGGTAGTACGGAGTAGCCTTGGTGTTGGTTGGGGAGTGCTCTGTGCACAACGTATGGGCTCGCATTGTGGGAGAGCCCCTCGGGGACCAGGAATTCAATGTTCACGAAACCTGCAGCAGACAAAGAGGGACAGAAAAAGCAAAGAGACCCCGGAAAGGGGCGATCCCGGTCAGTTACATCACCTCGATTTGCAGGGCGCGCGCGTGTGTGTGCACTATCCCATCTGTAGGTCTTATGCGGGAATAACGCGGTAGTTATGAGGTACAATGAAGCAACTCCGACAATTTGATCAATGAGCGCACAACCTGCTTACCTGTCCGGGCAAAGAGCGACGAAACGTCGACCGACTGGCACGATCACGATGGGATCGAGTGGCATCTTCTCCTCCTCCTCTTCCCCCCCTTACAGTGGAATAACCACCGCGGCAGGAGCAGGCAGGTGCATACATCCAATCATCCACTAAGCTCCGGATGTAGGTACCGCACCGAGATAGTGTCCACTTGACCACCTCGCAACCCGGCAGCTCGCGCATGCTTATTCCTAATGACGCAGCACAGCCGGAGCGTTGGGGACAGTAGATTTTCCTGTGCCTGCCACTAATGAATAATAAACGTATAGCGCTATCCTGGACCAGGCGACTAGTCCGAGGCTTCTGTGTGGGCAGTGGGGCTGATGGGCCCGTTGAACACGGACTGGTGAACCAGACAGGCCCCAAAAAAACGATTGTGGGTTTGCAAACGAAGAAAGTTAAGCCCAGAGCAGGATCAATACCCCCTCAAAGAAATCATGCAGTGTCTACGGGAGTACTGTGGATGGTCAGAAGGTGGAGTGAGAGCCAAAAAAAGAAAAGAAGAGAGAGAAAAAAAAAAAAGCAAAAAGGGACAGGCTCGACGGTAGATCAACCAAGGAGAACCTGTTTTCCCAAACCCATCGGTCCGGGTCGCAGCGAAATTAAGTCAAAAATGTTACACACGGCGCCTGCCTCTATTCTGAGATGTCAATTGAGGGATGGCAAAGGTGGGAAGAAGGGCAGGACTTTTTGGGGGGGGTGTGGTGGTGGTGGAAGTAGTCCGCGGAGGCTGACGGAGCACTACTACTGGACGACAGGCGACAGGTAAGAATGGTTTCTGGTACGACAGCCGGGGGGACGATCGATCGAACCGCCGGGCCAAAGAGATGCGCCATATATCAGATTCGTGAGCACTTTTCTATTTTTCTTTTCCATCTCCTTTTTAGTATCACTCCCATTACCTGACTTGCGTCTCTCTGATCCTCTGAGTGCATGAGGCTAGGACTGAGGTAGAATGGAAGAGGAATGTATAAAGAAAAATAAAAAGGAGGAAGTGAAAAGATAATAAATAATAATAATAATAATAAAACCACTTACAATAGCAGCGAGGATCCCAATTCACAATTACTCGGAGGGGAGAGACCAGCAGAGACAGGCAGACGTGAGGGGCGACGGCGATTCAGAGGAGGATAAAAAAGAAAAAGAAAAAACCAATAGCCAATAACCGCCGAGTGACTGGATGCCTGGCCGATCACACCCGGTTATTACTAGTAGTAGTTGTTGCTTCACTCCACACGGGCAGATGCTTTGCTTCTCTTCCTCTGAGTTCTTTGACAGGAACATGAATAGTGAAAAATAATTGAATGATCACTCATTATCTGGTTTCTCACTTATGTCATGTTTTTGTGTGAGGGAGAGAGAAAGAGAGAGTATGGTAAGGTTAAGCTGGTTGTGTAGCCCTTCTCCAGTATTACATGAACCGTAGTACTACTAATCTAAATACTAAATACTAAAGCCGAGGCGAGATCGGGACAGCCAGAAAAGAGAGAGAAAGAGAGAAGAGAGAAGAGGAGGGAGGGGGGGGTGGAGGGAGAAGCTGCACTAGTCTGAAACGGGCCGGGGAATGTGTAGACTGTAAGGTACACCCTCTTTGCTGTCTCTCTCTCTATCTGTCTCTTATTTTCTGACCTCTTTTTCTTTTTATTTTTCCCCTCTGCACTGCTTTCTCTCTCTTTTTGGATGAGCATTTTTGGGATATGATAATTATTGTATCGTTATTATTTTATTCTTTCGATCATTCCCCTTTTCACTGTGAAGTTTAATTCCTTTTGATTTCTGTATGCTGTAGGCTGTATCCAGTTCATCTTATTTTATTTTTCAACAATTAATCATCATGGTCGATATTTGATTTTCTTTCTTGGTTATCACATTTATTCATTTTAGTATTCTATTTTAATTTCTTTTTTAGAT